AGTCTGCTCCTCCCTCTCCCGCTCCCCCCTCTTGTGCTCTCTCACTCTCTCTCTCTCTCAAATAAATAAATAAATAAAATCTTTAAAAAAAAAAAGAAAAAAAAAGGAGCAGATGAATGTAGGTCAAGCCCATACCGGCACTTTAGACCCAAGATCTTAGCTTGTCCTCACACAGCGCTGCAAGTTTGGTAGCTCCACTTTACAGATGAGAAAACAGGTCCAGAGAGTTCAAGTCACATACTCGAGCTCACAGAGCGAGGAAGTGGCAGAGCCAGGAGGGAAACTGACTTCTAGTTCTTCCTGCCAGGCCACACCCCTCTGCCAGCTTACCTGGTCGTAGGGTAGGGCCCTGAGCTCCCTCCACCGCCGCTGCAGCTCCTGCAGCCTGCTCTTCAGTCCGGCCTGCTCCTCCCGGAGGGCGCCGACGGTCTATTAGAGCAGGGGGGAAATGGGCACACATCCACCTGCCTTCCCGGAGAGGGAGCCCAGGGGAAGGGGACCCTGTTGTGGACTCTCCCACAGCAGAGCTGATGCTCAGCTCCAGGACAGCCCAGCCCCTTTCCCCTGCCCCGGGCGGGTCCTGGCCTGCTCTCCTCAGGATTTGGCTGACCTCATCCCTGGGGGGCCTGGCCGCTCTCTGGGGGCGCAGGAGGGGCCCTGGCAGCAGCCACAGCTGCTCTTTACAGGAGAGCTTGCTTTTAACAAACACTGAGCTCCTGCTGCGGGGTGCTGGGCACGGACACAGGGAGACACAGGGACAAGAGGCCAGCCCTCGGGTCTGGAGGAAACGGTACCCAAGGCAGCATGTACCCTCACACGACGGACTGTGGAGGACATCGGGAGTATGGAGGAGGGACCGTTGTCCCATAGGACTTAACATCACTAGGGAGGCCTTCAGAAGGAGTGGGGGCTTAGAGTGGCAAAATGTCATACTATTACCTAACATTTATTTTTTTTTTTTAAGATTTATTTGTTTATTTATTAGAGAGAGAGCATGAGAGGGGGGAAGGGCAGAGGGAGAAGCAGACTCCCCGCCGAGCAAGGGACTCGATGTGGGACTCGATCCCGGGACTCCAGGATCATGACCTGAGCCGAAGGCAGTCGCTTAACCAACTGAGCCACCCAGGCGCCCTTAGCTAACATTTATTAAGCACTTACTATGTGTCAGGCACTGTGCCAAGCTTTTGATATGGATTGTATCACTCCATTCTTGAAACAACCCTATGAGATAAATTCCCTCAATCTTATTTTACAGATGAGGAAACCAAAGCTCAGAGAGGTTAAGTGACTTGCCCGAAGTCATTCAGCACTATGCAGGCTGGCTCCAGACTGCTAATCTGTGCTTTCCAGTGAAGAAATCAAGCCCCCCCACCCAAAAGAAGTCAAGCCCAGAGTGGGGGAGCAGTTTACCCCACATCTCCCAGCTTGTCCCTTGACTGCCACTCTTTCCACTGTACTAAGCAGCCTTTCAGGCTGGGTATGATTTGGAGCAAGTCCAGAGACGAAGAGTGACAACATGGGCAAGGGAATGACACCAGGGATACGAATAAATGCACCTTTGTTTGTGGGATGGAGTAGACGTTAGCTGGCAGGGTTCACTCTGTGGTTGGGAAGCCTGATAAATAAGGTCAGCTCAAAGAAGCGTGAGCTCACTTGGGAAGGCGGGACTCTGTCCTAGTCATCTCTGTATCCCCAGTGTTCAGCAGAGTCCCTGGCACAAAACGGGCATTCAGTCAATGTGTGTTGAATGAATGAATGACTGCAGTGAATGAATGACAGAATGGGAGCATACTACAGAGGGCACCGAAGACATTCAGTGTGAGTTCACTCTGTTTTTAAGCAGAGGAAAGCCAGGGCTTGACCAAATAATGCTGGTTTATGAGTAGTGAGAAAGGTACCCAGTTCTTTATATTTCTACAAATAAGGTGCCTTTAAGGCCTGGTTAGATGACATCAATGAGTCCAGGAGTCACTGTAGATGATAGGGAATGCTAGGGACTCACAGACTGGAGAGAGCATGTCCCCACTAAAGTGGAAGCCTCTTCTCAGCTCCAACCAAGATTTTCTCACGTGGGAATGTGGTTCCAGTATCCTATACCTTCCCATTTTTAAAAAAAGATTGTATTTTATTTATGTGAGAGAGAGAGTGAGAGCAAGCATGAGAAGGGGGAGGGGCAGAGTGGGAGGGAGAGGGAGGGGGAAAGAATCTCAAGCAGGCTCTGCACTGAGTGTGGAGCCCAACGTGGGGCTCGATCTCATGACCCTGAGATCATGACCTGAGCCAAAATCAAGACTCGGTCGCTCAACCGAGCCACCCAGGCACCCCAACAAATATAGAGTTTTCTTTTTTTTTAAAGATTTTATTTATTTGACAGAGAGAGAGAGAGACAGTGAGAGAGGGAACACAAGCAGGGGGAGTGGGAGAGGGAGAAGCAGGCTTCCCGCTGAGCAGGGAGCCCGATGTGGGGCTCGATCCCAGGACCCTGGGATCATGACCTGAGCCAAAGGCAGATGCTTAACGACTAAGCCACCCAGGCGCCCCAAATATAGAGTTTTAAAAAGAACCATTCAAGCAGGGGAGTTCAGACCCGATATCAGTAGGAGATGGGGAACTAGTGAAGATTTCTGATGGGGGGGGTGAGGTGCTGGGCACAGTGTTTAAGAAGCAGCTTTGCAAGCCATGGCAGGATGAACCCAAGCAGCGGGGTTCATCCCACTGATGAAGGAGTGAGACTCTGAGGTTCTAATTCCCACTGACATGGCAGGAGCTGAGCTAGGCCTCTGGCAGTGGGCATGCGCGGGTAAGCACATTTCATGAGGAAAGCGCCAGGACTCTGTGGATGCTTATATTAAGGAGACAGAGGGGACAAACTGGAGAGATGATGCCAAGATTGTAGACCTGGGTGTCAAGAGTTTGGTAGAAAGCCAGGGACCCAACAGGCAAGGAAATGAGCCAGTGGTTATTGGGGGCCTGCTAGGTGCTGGGCACAGTTGGACCCCATCTCCATTTAAGTATCATAAAACTGCCCCCTGTCTCGAGCTCCCAGCTGAAACTTCTCTCTTATAGGACCCTCTGAAGGACAACACAGGCTGATCGTAGTCACTTACATGAATTTGACTACACATACATGAAAACATGGTCTCCTAAATGCAAGCCAGTGTGCATCTGCCACTCTGCCGAAAAAAAAAAAAACAAAAACTGCAATCCTTTCCCCGTGGAGCTCATTGACAGACTGTAAATTCTAGATACTCTAGGGGTGAGTTAATGATTTAAGGTTAATTCTGACTACCTACATGCTTCTGCTTTATTTGCCAACTTTACAACCTAGCCACCCCAGAAGATAAAATCTCATGCTATCTATGTTCATCATAGGGGTATTGGAGGCAGTTCAGCCTAACAGTTAAAAGCACAAACTCTGGGACCAAACCTCTGGAGCTTACATCCAGCTCCTCTTAGTCCTGCAAGACAATGAGCAAGTTACTGAACTCTGTGCCTTGGTTTCCTCATCTGTAAAATGGGCATAATAGCAATTTCCACCTACATATAATTTTGTTGGAAACAACGGTGCCTGGCACATAATGCATGCTATGTTGAATGCTTTCTATTGTATCAATCCTCATTTTATTTTTTAAAAAGATTTTATTTATTTGAGAGACAGGGAGAGTGTGTGAGCCGGGGGAGGGACAGGGGGAGAGGGAGAGAGAGAATCTCAAGCAGACTCTGTGCTGAGCATGGAGACCCCTGTGGGACTTGATACCACAATCCTGAGATCATGACCTGGGCCAAAATCAAGAGTCGGATGCTTAACCAGCTAAGCCACTCAGGCACCCCTATGAATCCGCATTTTATAGCTGAGGAATCTGAAGTTTCTCAGGGTTAATTAGTGGGCCAAAGTAAGTCAAACCCAAGGCTGTTGAAGACACATGGGGTCAGGGACAGGACTTGGTGGAAAGGACTCTGGGTTGGAACAGCATGTGGTGATGGAAGAAGCCAAAAAGAAGGAAGAACACTTTGATGGACAGAGCCTTAAAAAATGTAATCTTTGGGGCACCTGGGTGGCTCAGTCGGTTAAGCAGCTGCCTTCGGCTCGGGTCATGATCCCAGGGTCCTGGGATCGAGCCCCGCATTGGGCTCCCTGCTCGGCAGAGAGCCTGCTTCTCCCTTTCCCTCTGCCTGCCGCTCTGCCTACTTGTGCTATCTCTCTGTCAAATAAATAAATTAAAAAAAAAAAAAATCTTAAAAAAAAAAAAAGTAATCTTTGAGGATACCTAGTCAGGGGTCAGGGGAGACAAAAGGAATGGCAGAGAAAAAAAAAAAAGAAGGCCTGGCCAAAGATAAGGCGGTGCCAGGGCCTGGACTGGGGACTGTCAGAGACACAGAGGAGGGGGAGCGATGAAGCAGGGCTTCAAGGGAAGGAGGCTATAAGAAGTCCACGCGCTCATCTGCTTTCTCATTCACTCATTCAACAATTAGCTACTGAGCTTCTACCAAGTGCCAGGCACTGCGCTAGGCTCTGGAAACATAGTGGTGAACAAAACACACAAAACCTCCTTGTGGAGTTTATATTCTAGAGGATGAGCCAGACAATAAACAGAATAAATAAAATCTACAGTATGCTAGTGGGGTTAGTGTTGTGGACAAAAACCAAGCAGGGGGAGGATAGAGAATGTTGGAGTACATTTTAAATGGGGTGATCAGAGCGGGCCTTGCTGAGATGATGCTGGATCATTTACTTGAAGGAGATGCAGGAGCAAAGCCATGTGTGCACGTGGGGGAAAGTTCTATGCAGAGGACAGCAAGCGCAAAGGCCCTGAGATGGGAGTTTGTCAGGCGGATCTGAGGAATAGCAAGAAAGCCAGTGAAGCTGAGCAGAGGAATTGCGGGGACGGGGGCTGGAGAGGAAGTCACAGAGGAGGAAACGGGTTGGGACAATGCAGGGCCTTTTACACAATGAGGGGTGGGAAGCCACAGACAGGATGACTTGGCTGTTGTGTGACTAGACTGATGTGGGGAAAGGGCACAAGCAGGGAGACCTCCGAGGAGGCCATTACAGCGTCCAGGAGAGCCATGTTGGTGGCTTGGACCAGGCAGGAGTAATGGAGGTGGTGAGGGGCAGTGGAGTCTAGATTGGTTGAGGTTGCCGATGGATCAGAAATAGAGTGTGGAAGAAAGAGAGGAGTCTGGGATGACTCTAAGCTTTTTGGCCTGAGCAACTGGAGGGAATGAGAGCCATTTTCTGAGATGGGGAAGACTGTGGGTGGAAGAGATTTAGGGCAGAAAATGAAGGGTTTATTTTGAACACATTAGATACAAAGTGCCTATTTGACATGTCAGTGGAGACAGAGGGTAGCAGTTGCCTCTAGGGATCTAGTATTCAGGGAAGATGTCCAGGCCGGAAGTATACGTTTGGGGATTATTCATGTGGGGGAGGTAGAGTCACAAAACTAAGTAAGATCACAAGAAAGTCTCACAACTACATGAGAGCAACAGGGAGGGAGGTGCAGACATAGAGAGGTCCAAGGGCTGATTTCTGGGGGCACCCACCACTAAGAGGTCAGGGGAACAGAGAAGCACCAGCCAAGGAGGATGCAGAGGAGGGGGTCAGTGAACCTAGAGGGAGAAGAGGAGTGTGAAGAAGGGTTTCAAGGAGGAGAAGCCAGCGTCTGTGCCAAACGCTGCTAACAGGCCAACAAAGATGAGGAATGAGAATGACCACTGAGACTGAGTGACAAAAAAACAGTCCTACTTATAAGGAAATGGCCAGAAGTTCATGTACAAAGATTATTATTGTGGCTTTATTTAAAACAGACAAAGAGAAGGGTGCCTGGGTGGCTTGGACGGTAGAGCATGTGACTCTTGATCTCAGGGTCTGAGTTCGAGCTCCACATTGGGTGTAGAGTTTACATTAAAAACAAAACAAAACAGGGAGGCTTGGGTGGCTCAGTCAGTTAAGCGTCTGCCTTCGGCTCAGGTCATGATCCCAGGGTCCTGGGATCGAGCCCCGCATCGGGCTCCCTGCTCCACGGGAAGCC